TTTTTTTTTTTTTCCCTTAGAGAAAAAGGTGACAGTGTTGTAGAATTCTGAGTTTCTGTAACGGTATTGATAGAATAGTTTCAAGAACACAAAATGTTCCAAAAATAGCGTAACCTAAAACAAGCACTAACCAAAGGACATGTCAGATGCCAGCTGTACATCAGTTTTATGATGAAATATGTTGAAACTTTTAGATTCCTTTGAGTTTCTTTTTCGGGCACCTAGCATGACTTCCTTTTCATAATCAAAAGATTAAGTTTTCTTCCGTTTTTTCAGGATGCGATTATTTGCTGAGGAGAACACCAGAACATGTCTTTTCTCCCTCAGCCCCTTGTGCTGCTCGTGTAGCGAAGCCTTCTGTCCATGTTCGTGCAGGGCCTCAGGGGTCTTTCTCCTTAGCATTAATGCCATGACTCCTTTCCTGTCTGTCACTCTAGGAGTCAGTGTGTTTCTGTCAGCATTCCAAGACAGAAGAACACTATCCAAGACAGGAGGATCCTTTCTCCTCCTTTTAAATGTGCAGCACTCTATTTGTGGAAGTCTTTGCACAAAAGGTTTATGTCATCTAGAGCAGGTACCCTGGGCAGGAGGCTAAGGGCCCTGTGCCTCACGGATCAAGCACAGGAGTTTGGTTCCAGAGCTCAACCCAGGGCTTGGGGGAAGTGCACAGGAGCCTGGACACCTCCCTTCCCGTGGGCTCCCATTAGGAGAACTCAAGGCTGCTAAGAGCTTCTCTCTTTTTAGCAGAACTGAGTGACAGAAACGTACTGTCCAGTAATATTTTAATAATTGCACAAGACTTAGTTAACTTCTTTTTTTGTTCCTTTCTTTTTTGTTTACAGAAACTTCCTTTTACCATCCCAGAGTTGGTGCAGGCATCTCCTTGCCGAAGCTCAGATGGGATTCTCTACATGGGTAAGAGTTCCTGTTTTCAACACTAAAACTTGGATCTCTTTGATAGTGAGTGCTGGAATGTGGGAAAGGAGCAGTCAAGAGAGAGGGCTGTGTGGCTGTGGGGCCAGGGATGTAGCTCCTAGTGCAGCGCCTGCCTGGCAAGCGCGAGGTCATGAGCTCGATTCCCGGTACCAACAAAGAAAAAAAAAAAAAGAGGGGCTGCTGTCACCCCTCACCAGTCCTGTGGGAGAGCCCTTCTGTCCTGGCTGTGTTCATGCCAGATCAGCTGACCAATTAGGAAAATGTCCCCCCACCTGGGAGAAAAATTGACGCCATTAATGTGGTTACTCATCTAACAAGCTTTTAGCTGCTGGGCTGGCCTATTTCTGGGATTGTCAGATTGCAACATACCTAGCTGCAATTGGATGAAATCTGAAGTAAATATAGTAGTCTGAGCCAAGGAGGGAAGTCAGGCCCGGCTACCACCTGCAGCCCTTGCTTCGCCTTCTGTGCTGTGGGAGCATTGGGCTGAAGTCGCACTTCTCAGCTCATCTAGATAAGCAGGCTTCATAACTCAGGGCAGTTTTCAAAGCATCAACTCACCTGCTTTTCCCTACCACTTTCCTGCCAAAAAGGTCAATAAAAGTGAACTTGTAACACAAAGGAGAGCTGTATTTGTCTTGAAAGCTTAGTAGTAACAATAGCTTGTGTTTATATAGGAGTTGGGGTTTTTTTGGAACTGAAAGTACTTATTTCTTATTCATGCCTTAGAAGCTTTATGTGTATTTCTGGGTTTCAGAGGCAGGCCAGCTTTTAGGGACACTGGGCCTCTTGGTCCTTTCCAGCCCTTCAAACCAAGGAGCTCCCAGCTTAGGGATTCACAGGAAGTCGTCCCCAAGGCTTGGTCGGTCCCGTGGGCTACTTCCAGGCCCCTCTAACATCTTCTAATCCTCTCTGCCACTGTTTGCTGCTGGGCTCCCAGTTTTTGCTAGCAGCTGGTTACCTGCTTAGGATATTGGAGCACTGTGTTTCCATCCTCTTTGTGTGGTGCCCTCTTAATTGACTTCATTAAGTGTATTTAAGAGTGTGGCAGTTGCCCAGTTCATCCACTGAAGTTGTAGCCAGGTTATGCAGACCGTAATGGTCCTTGAAGTAAGTTATATGTGTATCATACCAGATGGAAAGGATTTATGGTCAGAGCTACTTGGTGACAGTTTCATTTTGTCTTCATTTTAAGAAATATATTAAGATCTTATTGTTGAGAAGAGTTATGATCCACGGGCAAGTTGCACGCACATAGAACTGTCCTGTTTGCTACACCTGTTAGAATGAAGAACAGCTTTAGCAAATTCTGTTGCCCATGATCCACCCCAGTGTTGCAGAATTCTACTCGCAAGAGTTCTCAGTTGTAGGATGTTTTCCCAATAAGTTGGCATGATACAAATAACCAGGGGATAAGCCTTACACAACAGAGATGCACACATCAGTGACTGCATTACCTTCAGATTAGAGGCCCTGTGTCACTGCTAGCCTGGATGTCCTGGTGCATATTCCATAGGTACTGTGCTGTGGGTTTTCCTCACGGTGGTGCCTGGCTCACGCTGTCCACCTGGCCATACCTTGTCATCAGCTGCCCAAGGAAAGGACTATGTCCTGTTGCCTGGGAATAGCTTACAGCCTGGCATAGAAGTTGAGCCAACTTCAGCTTCATTGGCATTCAGGTGACAACTAACTGCACTGCCCAGGCACAGGTACTAGCTAATTATAGTCATCGATGATAACTGTAGGTTCCCTTTAGCTGTGGGCTAATTAATAGGGACACTGGGAAGTAAGAATTGTGGTTATGAGGGAGGCGAACCCCCAGGTATGTTTCTGTACTTATAGTGCCTACTCTGTGGGAAAAAAACGGCTGCCCACTACAGGAGTCAGGAGTTTTCATATTTAAGGCCCCTAATCAAAGCAGTAACATCAGCTTTGAAAGTTAGCCTTTTACTAAACTATAATTAGTTGATTATGTTTGGGGAAATTTGTATCATCATTATAGTATAAAATATAAAATCTAGTGGCCCAAGAAGTTGTGTCAACATTGGTTTACTTTGGCACCTCAGAGGCCCCTCGCAGCGCCTTCAGCGGCCTGTGGAGTTTGGGCCTCGGCACAGAGAGCGTCCTCAACATTGAGAGCTGCTTGGCAGCAGCGTTTTCCTGTGCAGCTCAGGTATAAATGACGGTGCCCCGTGACCTTCCAGGTAAGAAGCAGGACATCTGGTATGTCGTCGACCTCCTGACTGGTGAGAAGCAGCAGACTTTGTCATCAGCCTTCGCAGATAGTCTCTGCCCGTCGACCTCCCTTCTGTATCTCGGACGGACAGGTAAGCACTGAACCCTGTGTCCAGCGGCTCGCTTCCAGGAGGCGTGGCGACTCCTCGCTGGCTGTTGCTGGCTTTGTTCTCCAGAGTGGCCAGGGCTGTCTTCTCCAAGAAGCGGTTGCTCCTTTCCCGGACCCTTCTGCAGCCCCCATGGCCCGAGGGATGGACTTTAGGCACCCGCAGCCCGCAGCCCGGGCAGCTGCTGCTCGGCCTCCCATCTGTGTTTCCCTCTGGGAACCTTTTCTGCCCGGGGTGGGATGGTGCAGCTCTCAGAGCAGGGTGCTACTTGCGGCTTGTAGGCTGTCCCTCTGCAGCAGGTATTCCTTTGTCATGTTAGAAGATGTCCTCTCTTCCCCCACAACTCTGCACAGAACCTGCTTCCTTTGTGCAGTCTCTTCCTGGCTTGGGGCCCCCGCCCTGGCCAGGGACGCTCAGTTCAGCTTCTCCATTCTTGGGGCACATGTGTAACAGTGGCAGGCCTGTCGTCACTGGCACCTCACTGCCCGTCATTGTCCCTTTACAGACATGCATAGCACACCATTTCCTGTTTGTTTCCTTTGCAGCCACCTTCTTAACACTTGTCGCTAGCTTTATGAATTTTATGAATTATGAATTTTATGTTTCCATTTTCTGCCTCCTCCACTGGAATATCGGTTCCCTTAGGGAGGACGTTGTTTTATTCACTGGCTGCGTATCCACGCTGGACGTGTAGTGGGTGCTCAGCCACTCGAGCGTGCGAGTTGGGGAGCCTTGTTGCCATGGAGGCGTGCTGCACTCAGCTCGTGTTCATGCAGCACCTCACGTGTCAGGTTTGCCACACAAATTGTAGAACATGAGTGAAAGCTAAAAGCTGAAGCCACAAAACGCTTAGAAGAAAATTATGCCAAAAGCCTAGGCTCCTATCTCCAAACCTAGTTTAAAAAAATATGGAGTGAATTCATTACAATTGAGCCCTAAATTTGGCCTAAACTCAGGTAGCTGCACCGGGAGACAGCAGTTTCCTTCAGATGCAGTGGGCGCCAGACCTTCCTGCAGCCTAGAAGGGCTGCGCCCGCTCTCCAGCCTGCCCTGTGTGGCTCTGCTGCCAGGCCTGCTTAGGGTTTGTTTACTTTTCTCTTTCTTTCCTTCCTTCTTTTTTTTTCTTTTCTTTTCTTTTCTTTTCTTT